GTATTTTAACAGATCCTTAAGTGTTCCATTTATGTCTTAAGACATGTGTAATTTGTCCAGGCCATCTTTTCATTTTTATTGGCTTTATTTTATTCATCACTGCATGTAATAAGTCCTTTTCCTTTATAATCTTCCTTCTGATCCATCACAGATTTTTCCCATGTCCTTCTCTCAAATTTAGCTGCTTAATCTAATCTTTTTCATTTTTATTTTTATCATTAGTTCTGTCATTGAACCATTCCTTCTGGGCATTATTTTTGCTCCTCAGCTTTTGTTATTCTGTTTGTCCGCCATGGCGTCTCCTTGTTCCTCCTCCAATTTTTTCAGCCACATACCACCTCTGTTGTTTCTATAAAAAGCATTTTGTCCATCCTATTCTTCTTTTGGTAATTTTGTCTTCAATAACTCCTTGAATTCTTCTTTATTGTCATGATCTTTTGCCTTCCATGTTTTAATTTTTCCATTTTTGTTTAAAACTGGCTGTCTATGCATTAGCCTTCTGACACCTGCAGTCAGGATTCTGTGATCTCCTGATGAATTCTGTTAAGTTTACATAATTTATTGTAACTGTATGTGGACTATTACATGCTTATATATGTGATTAATGTGTTACTCCGCTGACTTTAGTGGATCGGAGAAGATACATGTGGCGATCAGACCGTGGGTTCGAGTTGATGGATCTCTCAACAGGCGGGTCCTTGATCGCATGCTGGGGTCAGTTCTAGGTCGTTCCATGTACACACCTGGAATCTCAATCAAAGGCATAGCAGAGCACTTCAGTCCAGCACTGCAGCCCTACCAAGTGAGGGAACTAATTGAGGTAACAGTTGCAAGATTACAAAGATTTATATACAAGCGGAATCAAGAGTGGATTATATGGATTGACTAAGTCAAGCATTAGCACTATGTGAATTGACCAACTAAGTAATACCAATGAATTGCATGCAGTCACAAAGATGACCAATAGTGTTTTACTGTGACATGAAAATATTTACCTGAAAGAATGGAGTTGTGATACTGAGAAAGGTTTGTGCACTTGTGCAGAAGTTGGAAGATTCTAAACACATTATTTTTAATCTACAGAGAGACTTTAATATGATGACTAGTTTAAAAGTGTGAAAAATAGTTAAATTATAGGAGATGTCTGTAAGTGTAACAGTAGATTTTCCTGACATTCAGTTCACTGTCCATTACTAGAACAACATGTTTTTGTTCAATGTAGCCATCATCAGGTTCAGTTACTTGCTATTATGTCATTGCGTTGATGATCATTTTTCCTCCGCCCAATGTAAAGAAATAATGATGAAATTGTATAGTAGAAAAGTGATTGTGTGTACTGGTGAATGGTACATCCAGTACAGTGCATCCTCCTGCTATGTTACACTCTTCTGCCGTGTCTCATTTACCAGCGAGTGGTAGCCTTTCTTCATTTTGAGTGCCACTAATTAATCCTGCTACTAGTATCACTCTAAAAAATTCTAACAGTGGTGAATTACATTCATTATTGCTGTATTTCTGGACTTGATCCAGCTCCACATATGTTCTAACAATGGTGAATTACATTCATTATTGCTGTTTTTCTGGACTTGATCCAGCTCCACATATGATCATATTAACAAACTATTTCAATAATGCAAGTTATAAGGTGATCGTTTTTACAAACGTATTTCTTGGTTGAAGGTTTTCTGCACAAAGGATCAGTTTCTATAGCCCTGGTATAAAGATCACAGAATTACATTTCTTCCATTCCAGTCTCTCAACTTAGTGTTCAATTCCAGTACCTCCAGCTGACATGTTTACCTCAGGATTTTATTTTATTTTATTTATTATGTGAGAACCTTGTAACATCTCATTTAAATTAATTGTTTTGTCTCTTGTTTTGAGAAACTTTGTTACTTATATGATTCTCCTCCGAGTAAAGTCAGGTGATTTCAAAGAACCAAGTATGAACTTATACTGAAGACGGAAGAAAGACGTAATTTTGTTGAAAAACCTTGTGGAAGGCAGAGGAGGGGATGGAAGCAAAATGTTTAAATTTTGTCTTAGTGTCGTACAGTAGGTTGTGAGGATGTTAACTAGATGCAACTGACTTAATGTCAGTTCAATGGCAGGCTTTGGTATATAGTCATGTTGAATTTTCAGTCCTTTCACAGGACAGATACTTACGCAATTACTTGTAAGTCATGGTCTTTGCTCAGAACAAAAAAAAAATATTTATAGATATATAGTCACAGTTTCATTTAACCTTGCATCTAATAAGCTTTGCAGTCAATCTTGTAATTTAAGTTTCCTTTAATGCCTTATAATCATAATCACCACCGCCATCACCATCATCATGAGATGTTTGTTAACTTTTGCTTTGCAGAGGTCTTCATTCGCTCCACACCCTTTCCTTTTGTTTTTGTCCTCCAACTGTTCCTGGTCTCTCTGTGTCAGTCTTAGGCATCCTGTTGTTTTTCTTTCACATGAAGTAGCCTCTTCATTTTGCCTTCATCCTCTCTTGCCTCATTCATTATTCTCAGTCTCGTAGCTGTGTCATAGATCCAAACCCAAGCACAACTCTTTCAGATCCCCTTCAAAACTAAGCAGCCTTCAGAAACTGAAAAAAATAAAACTAATTGAAAGTGGTTATCATGTTTTCACATACATGGACCTCTGTTAGACTGAGGTGTTCATTCAGAAAGCCATATTCCATTTCAGTTTCAGACTGACAATTGTAAGTCCAACAGTTCTGAAATACAGCAAATTGGATCTGTTACAGTAACATGCATTATAGGTTCAAGTTACAATGCATTTCATTTTTATCCTACTCTTTAAAATATTTTCATGCTTTTGGCTCTTGCCATCTGGTGGTCAGTAAATGTTTGATGGACTTCATTTAAACTTTGCAGTTGAACCTTTATGAAAATGTATCAGTAAATGTTGAATTTTGACTATATCACACAGTATTGAAAATCTGTTTTCCTTCCTTATAGGTTCTGCAAATGCTGGGATGTGTGAAGCTGTCAGTGGTGAAGAAATCGTGTAGGACGACACTTTTCTCAAAACCATCTACTGTGAATTTAAGTAAGTGCAAAATGGTTAACATAACTGAGATTTGTACAGATGAAACTTACACACTCCTGCAGCCACAGAAATGTCTCATTTGTTGAATTACTGACACAGACAAATTTTTGTATCATTATTCTAAATACGCAGATTAGTGGTGGAAAGTATAATCTTTTCCTAGCAGAGATGTCTGAGTGGTCTTATAGGCTGTATTGTCTACATCTTGACAGGGAAGGTTTGCTTGAAATGAGTTAGGTTGGATGAAGTTCTTCTTCTTCTATGGCTCTCCGGTCCATATTCGGTCCATGGCCTCCTCAATTCTCCTTTTCCATTCAGTCCTTCTGTTAGGTCTGTCTGTCCGAGGTTGAGGTTTCGAAACATCTTCCTTTTTACGTTGCAAGGTTGTTAGCCTTGCGACCAACCCCCAACCTGGAGGACCAGGGTACCTGTCTTAGTCTGACCTCTCCCCCTCGACCAATCTGGCTGGGGAGGCTTCCGCCAGCATAGCTCTTGGGATCACCACCACCACGACAAGGTGCAGTTACCATTAAGTGGGGAGGTTGGATGAAGTTAGCATATGAAAATGGCAGTCTTCTGGGTTGTGTGTAAGAAATCAATGTTTTAATGGCATATGAACTTTTAGGTAGATAACATTTCGGAGAAACATAGTCTATCTTCAGGGCCAAAAGTGTAGATACCTACAAGTCCATGTGCCATTGTCACTGCCATGAGAATCCTTTCTATGATATTTACAATTGCAAGCTGCCACGGTGGTCTAGCGGTCAGAACACTGGGCTTGTAATCCTGGGGTCCCGGGTTCGATTCCCAGCGGTGCCCGGATTTATAACTTGTGTTGGGCAAGGCCGTGGTCCGTCACGGAGTTTTGCTCCGGGGTTTCTCCGTGGCATCCCACCAACTACTCCATTCTCATGTTCATCATCATTGCGGGTGCAATGTGAACTCGCCACCATTGGGCGCACCTTGGGCAATGCCACTCGGCGGAAAAGTAGTTCACTACGTAGCAAGACTTCACAGCCAATGACGTAAGTCAAGAGCCACTGCATTAAAAAAATATTTACAATAGCAAGGAATAAAAATTCCTGGTTCGATTAGGATTTGATCATGACCATCTTTGCACGAACCCATGATAACCCAAGATCTAAATTGCTTTTTCTTATTGTGGGTTTATAAATTTGCATTGCCTAAACATGATATTAAAAATTATATTTAAAGGACTGGAAGCTGCATAAGTAAGTAGGCTTTGTGTGTTCTGCCCTCAACTTCTTGTTTTATTTGTTGACAGGTCCTGCAGATGGGACAGAAGATGAAGCAAAAATTATTCTGGAGCCACAACCAGATGCTGTTTTAAGGCTGGGTCAGTTTATTGGTGATAAAGTGTATCAGCGTGACTTTCTGAGTTCATAATAAATAATATTGTGTTATAAATTTATTGTATGATTGTTATAATTGTATTTTAACATTCAGAAGATGTGTGATCAATGTAAATAGTTCATGTAAACAAATTTTGTGAAATTTATTTTTGTGGCATTTGTTCCAAGTTTTTCAGATCAAGTGGAAGGTACTTGACCTTAAAACTGTGTAGCAATAAACAGCACTGAAAGTTTGAAATAGAATAATATGCACAATGTTATGCCATTAATGTTGTTTATAAATATAAGTAATTCACTTGTATGATATTTCATGTGCTTGAGTCTGTAAGTCATACTTTGATGTTATTGTCAGTGAAAGGTCGAGGCATTGTTTATTTGAAGTAAAGAGCAATCATGAACAAGTTCAGTGGCTGGGAGATTGTTCAAGATGGCATTTGTAGGTGCTGGTATTGAGAGGTTTGTGTCTCATATCTTGGCCATGTTGTCTTTAGATTCCTTTTCATGCATTCTTTGCAGGCAGTGCACTGATGAATGCATATAGGGCTGGTCATGTCTGCCTGTCCATCTATGTGTCTGATTTAACTCAACCTTGGGATTGACTGGGATGAATCTGGTTTGGAAGTTGTGGAGATTGAAAAATATTTAGAGCACTGAATCTGTAAAATTACTTGGAGAGCAGATTAATGGAATCTTAGCAGTTTTTCTGAGTTCTCTGCACAAAGTGCCCGCATGGTTCAAATTGACAATCACTGGGCAGATTTTGTTAAAGTTTTGTGGAGTTAGTATTCTTTGTTCGGGAAATATGATACTGGAACAAAAAAGCATTCCTTTTTTTTTTTTCCCTGTGTCCAATAATGAAGGAGGGGTTATGCTGCCTCTCTCTCTTGTCTGTGGCAATATTAATTTATACATTATGGACATTAAAAAGACAGCAGATCATGTTATTATTGGTCTTGCGGATTGTTTGTAGATAACCAACGTTTCGCGGTAACGAAGGCACATACGGCGATTAAAATCAAAGTCTTCATAAGAGTTCCTTTGTTCACCGTTAGATGGCGGTGAACTCTATTTTGTGTCGTGAACATTGTAGTCTGTGGATGAAATGGTTTCGACTTCCGTGTGCGTGACGTTCATTTCAGTTCCAATAATTTATCGATACTTGAGCGGAACGAGTAGCCGCCAGCGAAGAACTCGACTACTGTGAATGCGCCAGTTACAGTTAGTGCAATGCAGGCAGTGCGATTAGAAGGGGGTTATGTAAGGAACCAGAAATTTTACGTTACATCATGCGACGTGTTGAACGTTCAGTTTGACATTTCGACAGTCTGAGACAGGATGTCAATGAAGGTGAGTTACACACATTTAAAAAGAAATCCAAAATTGTATGTCATTGTTATTTGTCTAAACTGCATAGCAAACTATTCGTCGACAAAAGTGGCAGCTGTCAACACAAGACTTCCAGAAATGTGCAAACAACTGCGGAAAAAGATTTATGGTGTGTTACAACAATTTTTGATTGTTCGAAATATGTCGCGTTGTCTTGCTCTAGAAGAAATGTTGGACGGCCGGGGAAGAGGTGGAAAGATCAGTTTTATGGAGGCGGAACGGACCAGTTGGCCCAAACCATGAAGTTATTGATGATGATGTTTCGCTGCAAGCGGGTTGCTGTTACTCCATCTTGAATTAATTTCCTGTTGTGAGATTTCGTGTTCTCATGGCAGGAAGAATGAAGGTGACAGCCTTCTGCGATACTGAGCCGTGTGACCAACGTTTCAGAGGTGCATGATGCCTCCATCAAGGCCGACTTATCGCATCTGTGAAACGTCGGTAAACTTCTACGAGAGTACGTGGCGCATAAGATTGTCATATTAATTTTCAATTACCTGTATTATATTTTAGCCGCAGTCGGCGGTTTACACTTCCAGATAAAACAAACAATCATTGTGTATTATGATCAGATATTTGCGCTGTCATCATGTAAAAGGCGTTTACAATGCAGGTATAGAAAAACAGAGGTCAACGTATGCCATAAATTCTGTTTTATTGATATGACAGTGCTATGTACCGTACTATTTTTTAAATTTAAATTAAATTTATAGTGTGTAAAATTATTTGTTTGAATTGCAAATGGTACTTGTTTTCATGCTCCTCGTGAATCCAAGTAAATCAAACCAAAAGATGCAATGGAAAGTATAAAGAAACTTCACGGACGAAACGCCTTCAGTTTTCTCACACGGAAAAGGTTAAGACGAGTTTATTTACATTTCCAACGGCTGCGCAGAGTTGGACAACCAGGAAGTGGTAAGAGTGAGCCCGGGTAGAACTCACAAAGCCTGATTTCTTGTTGCACAGATCATATATAGTTTGTGTAATATTTAAATAAGGCAGTTCATTTTAGTACATGGAGCTGTAAATATATTACATATTGCCTATCTTATGAAGAACTCATTGCTTGAATAAGTGTAGATGCTGTGTACCTCAAAAAATTGTCACCATGTTGACTTACGAACTAATGCATCATGAGTAATTTATACTAGGAATGTTTATGAGAGATCTCCGTAACAAATTTAACGTCCTGGCACTAGAGCTTCGTTCGTTATTGCCATGCGGATTTGCATTCTAAAAAAAGCCATAATGTATTGTAAATAAATAAAAGTGGTGCGCGTGAAAGTTACACTTGGCGCTAGAACCATTAACCATTGTGCTTTACCGTTCTTCTGATCCGCGGTTGGCCCCTTGCCTGCAGCGGAGCTTATTAACCAGCTTCGCGGGATATTGTGTCCTAGGAACTCCTGCGTAGAGTTGACACGTCGAATTCTCTCCGGCTTCTTCTCATTTAAGACACGACAAGGTCGTCCACAAGGCCGTCATCCTCTTGGTAGCTGTTATCGGCGTTTTGCCATTGGAGGGAACTCAGATATCGTAATTCCTAATTTCCTACAATCAGAAGTACCAACGTGATGGACGCTGGAACTTAGGATGTGTGTGGATGATCGTGTGTGATGGTTTCACAGACGACGCAACAATTAAGAAATCAGAACAGCTGACAAATTTATATCGCGAAACTTTGTCGTACTCCAGACCCTGCATAGCATAACTTGTAGCAAAGTTGTTGTGTTGAAATTTTTTTTATTTCGTTTCATAAGTATTTAACGAAATATGAAACGCTTTTGTAAACTGATCCTTGCACAGGAAGAAAATTAGGTCAAACGTAAAACGCGGTTTCTTCGTCCTGCTCAATCACAACAGCCGGGAATATTATTTTAAAGGTTATTTATTCCTGTTGTCGAATATTTCTTTCTGAACAGCATGCTTCAGAACATCTGCGGAATAATATGCAGCACGGTCGCGGGCCGTGCCTCACGTTTTTATTCGCGAGGACCGAGAACCT